TTGAAAGAGGCTCAGTATGATCTTTACGAAACCTTTTGGGGCTTTGATTCTTTCCATTGCTTTTATCAGCATGTCTAGACTAATTGTGTCATATACTTTTGCAGTATCTTGAAAAAGTATCCACAGTTCTTTTTTGTTTTCTCTAGCATCTTCACAAATATTATTGAAAATCTAAATAGGTTTTGCTGTACTTTCTTCTGGTAGTCTTGTATAATTCGATCCTCTGAGAATGTTGTTGTTTTTACAAATATTTCCCATTCTGTTGGTAAGAATTTTAGTGAAACATTTTCTTGTAACTTCTAATAGGACAATAGGTCTAGTGTTTGAGAGTTTACAGCCCATGGTTTAGGTTTCGCTATTGAATATATGTATCATGAGCTTAATATTAATTGATCTAATCTTATTATAAATAATTATATATTAATTATTTGATTCATAATTAAATTTACTTACATATAAAGAATGATAATATGGTAGGTCTAGTTAAGACAAATCATAATAAATTATGCTTAAGAATTTAATTACTTATTAAATGTCAAGTTCATTTTAAATAAAGAAGCTCATATTTAATTTCAGTTGTAGTTTAAAAAAAAAAAAATAGATAAAAATATAAATAAGATATTATTAAACAAGAGATTATATACTTAAAAATAATTGTTAAGGTGATAAAGGAATTGATAAAATTGATATATTATATAATATTATTATTTAATATTTACAAGAATACCATTTTTTTTTTTATTTACAGTATATTAATGAATTATAAATGAGATATTGAGGAATTCTAATTCAAAAGAAAAAGATAAAAGACTATCATTTAAGTTCAAGAAAAATTTAAACATACTATTACAATATATACTATATATACTGTATATACAATATATAATTTTTCAAAAAAAAAATTTGATTTTTGATTTTATGTATCATTTATTTTTAAAAAAACCAGAGATCTAAAACCATACCATTTTAAGACCAAAAGAAAAAACAGACAAGTGACTAACTAAATCATATGAGAGATTTGTAACCATCGATCAGGTTATGTACTCTCCTACCAAAGAAATTCGTGAATGACGTTCAGAGGTTGGTGAGATCAGATGTGTATGTGGATTAGCTCAGCTCTGCGAAAAACAAAACATAGAACTTGACTTCTAAGAGAAGGCCAAGAAATTGGATAAAGCAATATCACAGATATTCAAAAAGATCAAAAGCCTTCGGAATGAACAGCATAAAAAATTCGTGAATCATCCTGCTAAAAATTATGATGCGATTATAATTTAGAATTTGATGGTGAAGAGGAAAAAAAGAAAAGATCAAATCGAAAGTTGAGAGAGGTAATGAATGTATGTTTAGACAAAGGCTAAAATCCAAAGCGAAAGTAGTGATTCAAGATAAGGCTTACACTTCGAAAACATGCTCATGGTGTGGTAATATACAAGATATCGCAGATTCCTTCGCGCTTCGTCTGATGGAGCCATATGTAGGAATTAGTAATCATGCTTAGCAAAGTTTAGTATAGATTATTAATGATGTATTACAATCCATCCGCACATGGTGAAAGGTTAGATGAAATGAGGTTGGTATGCGTATTCTTTAATATGGTATTAAAAATATACAGTAAAGTGATACATTGCATCACCGAAAGTGATCATTAAACAGTATGAATGAGGGATTAAAATATACAATGAGTATTAGATCGAAAATAGATTAGATTAGATGCAACATTCATCGTCGCTCCGATAATTACGCATTACGCATTACGCAATTAGCTTAGACCAAAGTTAAACCAGACAGGAACCGTCGACGATCTCCTCGTGGTCAAAAGCGTTGGTTATGTTGATGAAAACGCTGATTCCGGAGACATCCGAATTCAGTTCATTCCCGGGTTTCGACATGATCTTTCCTTCGTAGACCTTCCAACTCAACCCCTCGATATTTTCCTCAAAGTAGTCGCCAATCTCATCACCAAATTCCTTTAAAATTTTACACCCCCAATTGAATCCTTTGTAAGATTTGAAGTTTGGTTCGTTGCCTTCGTGAAATGATAAAGGTTTGCCGTTTAACGTTGCCCACCATGAAAACATGCCTCGTTCGTGCTTTCCGAAGGAAATATTGATGTTCCACGAGTAATCCGAAGAGGAGTCCAATAGATCATTGGGATCCGTGCAGTCGGTTATCACGGTGATAACCTTGTCCATGGAGTTAACGAAATCGGCCAGGGTCGATGATAAGATTCTTGAGCGATGCGATCGTGGTCCCGAAATTTTCGCCGAGGATATTGGTGAAACGGGAATCTGAAAATAATCCAATTCCTCCAACAGCTCTTCATAGGTGACATATGTATTGCCTGCGGGTGGAGTCGAGGTGAAATTAGTTTAGTCACGTAGGATTTTCAGTGGAACTTTTCAGTGAGCATTCTCACGCACCTCGATTTTGCTCGGACCAGAAAACCTTTCCGGTACGATAAAACTGCATGATGTAGTGGAACACACATCCATTTCGATCGATAAAGTATTCATTACCATTAGTTGCGTATATTAAGGATCTGTTTTTATCCTGAAAAATGGTGCCCAGAAGAGTCTCGGGATATGCTGCCAAAGTTGATTTGTAGGTCTCATACTATATCCAGTGGGCGCAAGGGGAAGAAAGAATCAATTGAATGTGAACCAAAAAAAAAAAGAAAGAAAAAAAAGAAAATAGAAAATAGAAAAAAAAAAAAAAAAAGAGGAAAAAAAAAAAAAATAATAATAATAATAAAAGAATGTGACGATAATTTGATCATGTCTAATAAGCTAGGATGTACCTTAACACCTCCGACATTTAATATAACGGTTTCCTTCACTATGTGCTCTTTTCTTATAATTGATGATAGGAGTCGTTCAGCCATTGTGCGGTAATCAAAAATTGATCGATTTAAAGATGAACAGAAGGTTAAATAATTAAGGTCATGAGAGATCGCCGACAAGAGTTACAAAAATCAACTTCTAAAATAAGCGATTCACGGGTTCATTGATTCTGACCGGGATCGACTGTGTAATCGCAAAACAAAGTCCTCACGTACTGTATAGTAAAAATCACAAAACTCCTGAACTCCTTTTGTGTCTAAAACCATAACAGGCACTTAAATGGTAATAATAACGTATCCTTCTTTTCTTTTTTTTTTTTTTTCCCCTTTGTTACATGACACTTAAAAATAGCGAACTGTACGTACGTATGTCGGATGTTGTTAATGACCGACGTCCGTGCCGGCATTCCATCCCGTGAGCGACAAAATGTCAACAACACACTCTCTCGCCATGCGAGTTAGGTGACGTAAGATTTCCCTGGATATACAGTACATATAAAGTTAATTGCAATTGAAAACTCGGTGTGCACAGTGTATTGATGTCATCCAAAAATGGTCAACACCCATGCGTCTCGACAAAAGCATCTTCGCTTCACATTAACCTCACAGTTTTTTTTACCCAAAATTCCTACATAATTGCGCCGTGCGCATGTACAGTACACTTATGTACGCATCTCAGTTTGTATCGTTCTCCCTTAAACATTCACGATGGATAAATAGGTAACAAAAACAATATAGAAAAAAACAATGGACAGTTCAAATCAAGCAATCAAATGTACAATTAACGTGCGCACGTATGTCGCTTTGAAATTTTTCAAAAAAAATCAACACTTCTCATCTAATTGTTATTCAAGTCGAATGAATAACGTTGAATGCAACATGTTACTTACGCCACATTTCCGAAGATAAACCATGCATGCGTGAATATCTACACATGTGTATTACGTGCACACCGGTGACGTTGGTTCGTTTCACCGGTTGGCTACTTTATTCAATCATGATCACCGTAAAGAGTGATAAAAAAAGATATTTGTGTTTTTTTGATTGCAAGGGATAAAACAAATGTTTCTACAGGTGTGAAACGTGCGATTCTCCAGAGCATCGTCACGTGATGAAGTAATAATACTGTGCATAGTCTAGGATTGATAACTTTGTACAAAAAAAAAAAAAAAAAGAAGAGTAAAGGAATTTTTATATTACGAATATATTTTTAAATTTTAAATTAGTAATTTAACCAATTATTTCGGCGTACCACTAGAGCGAAAAAAAAAAAAAGGTCGTCATCATCCATCGATTTACCCGAGAGGAAGAAGAAAAAGAAGAATAAAAAGAGATCATACCTTATTACTCTCTTCGTAACCATCACCTTCCAGTATGACCTCTTGATTACCTTCGTAATCTTGAGATCTACTGAACAACGACAATTTATTATTCACATGCTCCAATATAATGATGTCACCTATCGCCCATGCACCATTGAGATCATTCTGATAACCGGACTCGATGGTGTGCCTTTTCACAAGCCAATTACAATTCGTGTCTCTCATAGAAGATGCCACCACTGTGGTAATATGAGAAAAAAAGGGGGAGAGGGAGAGGGAGAAAGAGAGGAGGGTAAGACACGATTGATTCTTGATAAACGAATAGCCCGATTAGAAAATCTTCCAAATAACAATAATAAATAACGCACCATCACGACCAGTCAATTTATCGACCGCTGATAAGCTCGTCCGGGATTTTTCGTGAACCAGACTGATAAAGGAATTGAAGTATGCGGGATCACCGTGCGATCTATTCTCGCCGAATGGTGACGTGACGATCCACACTTCATTCTCCTTGGGTTTGCATCCGCTACAATAGACCTGTTGTTGATTTATGCGAATTTCGAGAAAGAAATTTGAATTTGAATATGATTTCGAAGGGATGTGAATCGATTTCAGACAATCAATATCTATTTTACCCTTGAATTTTGAGAACCCGGCTTCATTGGTTTGTGTTCACCGTGCGATAAATATTGACCGGTGACACAATGCTTGATGGTGATTCTCGATCCGTAACGGATTTGGTGCAAAGGGTATTCGTACAGGATACCCTGAAAGATCTTTATTACCCAGTCAAACTCATCAACATTCCTCAATTTACTCGCCAATATATTTCTTATGTTGTCGTCGTGCAAGGAATTTAACAGGTAATGTTTTTGCTCCATGAGATTTGTGATGTTGGCACTTCTGCACAAGGAAAGAAACGTCGATATGAAATCCGTCATTTCCATATTTGAATTGTACCTCAATTGTCGAAGATTATTAAGCGCCGACGCAATCATAACCGGATAGGTGACGTGCGCCTTTAGCGCTCTGATGAGACCGGAGAATGAAACCGTCTTTTCGGGAACAAAAATCATTGGGTCAACTTTAAGTAACGCAAAAGAAACAATATCTTCTTCGTCTTCAATTCCGTGGAGGCGACAGAAGAAACGAATATCCTGTAACCATGATTCGGGGTCTTGAGTGCCATTATATTTCGAAGGATGAACGGTTATGGCGATCATGGGTATTTTACTCTGATTCGCCAATGGCTCCATCTTGAAATTTTCTCGGAGGACGATGTTTTTTGTTTTCTTTTTTTTTTTTTTTATAGATGACGATAAAAAAATAGAACACCGATGGCAATAAAAATAATAAAGTAGTTTTAGTGAGAAAATCTTTCGACATGGGATCATATTTATAGGGTTTTTTCAACCAGCGTGATGCATGTGAATCGATAAAATTGGTAAAAATTATTATACAATATAAAAAATACAATGGTTTGTTTTTTTTTTTTGTAACCGACCAGTCAGCCGAGATTTATTAAGATCGAAGAGATGGGTAATGAACAATGGGTGGAGTTGTTAAAAAAAAAAAAAAAACAAAAAAAAATTCCTCGTAACGACAAATACCAGTCGATAACCATTCCCAAACAATGCCCAAATATGCTATATGATGGTTTATTCAGGTGGCGCACCTTTTTTTTTTTTTCCTTCTTCTTGCAATTAAAAATTTTTTTTCGCATTGTTAATCCCATTGTCAGGACTACGATATTTATCTATTGCATCATGTGTACAGTGCGCATGTTAATTTATTTATTTATCCACTTCAATAAAGATGTTTGCGTTTTTAACATCATCATGAAAAATTTTCAGCTTAACTGATTGGAAAGCGTACAATCGGAAATTTTTGCCCCTTATTCAGAATATGCGTAAGTACGTACGCTTGTTACTCAAATCACCCGAGATTCATCATGTTCGTCCTACCGCTATGCGAGAAATGCCACGTGAGTTGAATATCCTTTAACGGGGATGTATTTGCCACATTTTTTGCAATGTTTCAATCGCCCCATTTTGCATTAATCTTAATTCGAATGTGGTACTAAATCATTGAATGCAAAGAAAGTTCATTATTCATCCTCGTTTCTTTCTTTCTCCCTTTCTCTTTCTTCTCTCCCTGCAGATCCCGAAACCCTTATTGTGTCTCCTGCATTGCCATGTGGTGTTTGAAAGGGGTGTGCGATATTGTGTCTAGAAGGTTTGAGGGAAATGAATGGCATTCCGAGCGTGCGATAGAGGGATTGATGTCATATCGGAAAATTTACGCAATTTCACACATGGTTTCTCAAAAAAGAAACACCGATGCAAGTGAACTATAGGCTATTCCAAGGCAGACCCTTTTCTTTGCGTGCCGAATCTCTATTTCCATGTGATCCAAATGTGCCTTTTTGTCTGACGTTGTGGCTCTCGTCTCTCAGTTCGATGCATTTATAATCAATGCGGGACGGAAAAATTTTTTTTTTTTTTGTCAGTATAATAGAGGGATTCTGAAGTTCATTGTCTGCATCATTTAAAATTTTTTAAGTGGTTTTTTTTTCCTTTATACGACTCCTTTCATGTATCGGAAACAGTACAGTACACATGAATCATGCCATTTTAGGGGTAATGCAACTAATTCCACGAATCCACCTCACGCACAATACCGTGCCCATCAATTTAGACCCGATCTGAAGAGTCGGGATATAAATCTCTGAATAATTATAATTATTTCATTGGTGGCGTCGTCGGTCTATGACGAAAGGAAATTTTTCGGCATCCTGAGTAATCTTGTGGCTGCTCAATCATATTCGACCACATGACTCTAGAATCCAGGGCATTCCAGTTTCTTTTTGTTGTTGAACATTGACCGCAAGTCTCGAATATGTGTGGATATCTTAGCTTCCTGTCTTTTTTGTTTTTTTGCAAGCAGCACTTCCAATATATTCTTACGATTAAACATGATACATATTATAGCTTCGACTTCATATACAGTATATTATAAATATACTGTATATACCGTTATATACTGTACATACAGTATATTAACAGAATATATTGTATGTATTTTTTTTTTTTTTTATTTTAAAAGAAAGTTTAATATTCGGAAATTAATTCAATTATTAAATATTATCATTGTGAAAGAAAACTTTTTTTTTTTAAAGTTCAATTCATTTCCAATATTACATATATGCATACAATATATAGAATTTACTGTATATTGTTATAAACAAAATAATAGGCGTTAAGTTAAATTGTTTTGTCAAACACTAAACGAAATTTGTATACACAATTTCGTCTCTATAATTTACCTCCCGATCCTCACTTTTCTGTTCTAACAGCTCATCGGAATTCTTTTACAAATTTATCCGGAACACATACATCATTCGGAATTTGCTCTTTCACCTTTAGCCTCTTTGATCTTGGTCAATTCTCTTAATAACTTGTTTCTTGCACCTGTTGTCAGACCTTTGGCTTCTAACATGGAATCATCCAATTCTAGGATAGCACTTTCGCCCATTTCGTCAAACAATGATGTATACTTTTTTAAGCGCAAACCTCTTAGCCAAGCCGGAAAATCTGCGATCGATTTGGTGATAGATCAAAGTGAATTAGAATATAAGTGGTTTGAAATTAAATGAATCCCTTAGACTTCACATAAGCATTTCGCCTCTTCCCTTTTACCTTTAAATAGTTCCAGGTTTGCCTTTTCATAGTTTTTGGCATAACTATCTTTCCTCCCTCGAGATCTTTTTAATTTTTTCGCTTTGATCCTTTCTTGTACATCATCTGTCACCTCAACCGCCGTGGTCCCCTCAGCAATACCACTTTTTTCTTTCGGTCTTTTGCTGTTATCGTGTAGCGATGGTGGCTTTCCCCTCTTTCCCCTTTCGCCCTGACTTAGGGACTCCACGTATTCTCTCACAGTTCCGAATCGTTGATCGGGTTTTCGCCTCTCGGACGGCACTCTTTGATTTTGATTCACAGATTCTTTCCTATCAGCCGAATCTTGCTTTCGTCGTTCGTGGCGATTGATTCCAGGTGTAATTCTTGAATATTTCGAAAAGTTTGGATAGGAAGAAATTGATCTACCATATTCCACATCACCTCGAGGATTACCAACGGGTTTAAATTTGGTTGATCGATTGGTATTTGAAAGGAAGTGCGCTAGGGTGGATGACGATGAAGCTTGGGACAAAAAAATATTGATTCTAGCATTTTTGATCGAAAATTTATTGGCCATGTTGTTAATCAAAAATCGACCAAGAAAACGGAAGATCTTCAGCTCTGATTGGCGAGTCATTTCGCACGTGATATTTGTTGATGTGGATTTTTTTTTTAAAAAAAAAAAATTTTTTTTGTCACTCTTTGATCAATTGGAACATAATGTCCTTTTTAGTTTCATTTGGAAATTTTTCTACATCTCAAAGCTTAAAATATTTTAGGGAATGGTGGAAATTTGAGAGATTGCTATTTGACTCGTTTCATAAGTCTCTTCGTGGTGTCAATGACTTTGCTGCGATGTCGACGACAGCCGCAGAAAAGTCTTCAACGCTTCTAACAAAGCCCATCAAAGACCAAAGTTTAGACACCGAATATGTAAAGTACTTAAAAAGTGTTTCCCCAAAGAACAAAAAATGGAAACCCGAAGAATTCGAGGAGTTATTGGAGGCAGTGAAAAAGTATGGCACCAAGTGGAAATTAATTAAATCAAAAATTTCCGCAAAAAGAACATTAGTCTCGATGATGAGCAAATATTATCATTCGCAGTTGAACGCCAGTTCCCCTGGTAGTAAAAAATGTTGGTCATCAGAAGAGGAGAGAAAATTTCGTTTGGGACTGCTGACGTTTGGTATGGGTATGTGGAAACAGATAGCATTGTTTATAGGGACAAAAAATTCACTTGAGGTTAGAGAGAAATGGGCTTCTATTGGCCAAAATAAACGAGGCAGATTTACCCCGGAGGAAGATGAATTATTGGAGAAGCTGGTCTCCGAACATGGAAAACGCTGGCATCAGTTTGCCGGCATACTGGGTAGACCGCCGAATCACCTAAGAAGGCATTATTCTTACATTAAAAATTATAGATTTACCACTGAAGAAAAAACCTTATTACGCGACACTTTGAAAGAGGTCGGATTTGATTGGGAAAGGGTGATGGAAAAATTTCCACAAAGAAAACTGAGATTCGTGAAATTGGTTGTGGACAATAATGCGAATCTGAATCCATTTGTGGCGCAAGGTGCGTGGAGTGATGAAGAGAAGGAATTGTTTTTGGAGGCTGTCGAGAAATTTGGAAATAATTGGCGAGAGATATCACAGGTGGTGAAGACCAGATCACCAAAGCAATGTTCCAGTTATTACAAATATATTAGAAGCAAGGAATAGATATTCGAAAAAAAAAACTTTCCGGAATGGAATATAAACACTTCAGATATTGTAAGTAAGTTTTGAAAGCTCATAAAATTATGAAAAATTGAGTTACTGACATTTTGTTTAAAACTTGTAAACCAATGTTTTACTGATAACATAAAATTTGTTTCTTATAATTACACCAGTAATTTCTGGTTACAATGATAATTAATTTACCTTTTATTATTATCATTATTACTTGATATTCCTGATTACAAGAATAATTAATTTGACAATTTACCTTCTATTATTATTATTATTGCTTGATATAATATTAAGCAATATTGAAATTAAGTAATCTTTATATTTTTGAAATATATTGTATATATGATTGTTATTTTAAAAAAATTTATAATAGATAATTATATATTTTTTTTATTTTAATAAAAAAAAAAACTTTAAATAGTTTATATTTTATATCAAGTTAGTTATATATGCTTTATTAAACATTTGTAGGCTGCATATATAAAATGAGATGCTAAAGTTAATTT